CATCATCATCAACAACATCATCATCATCATCATCATCAGCATCATCATCATCAGCATCATCAGCATCATCATCAATCAAAATCATCCTCATCCTCAGATTCCTTCTCCTCCTCATCATCATCATCATCACCACCACCACCATCATCATCATCATCAGCATCAACATCAGCATCATCATAGGCATAACCACCATCATCGTCATCATCATCAGCAGCATCATCACCATCAGCAGCAGCATCAGCATCATCAGCATCATCAGTATCAGCATCATCATCAGCATCATCATCATCATCATCTCATCATCGCTCATCATCATCTCATCATCATCATCATCAGCAGCATCATCATCATCATCAGCATCATCATCATCATCATCATCATCATCATCATCATCATCATCATCATCATCATCATCATCATCATCATCATCATCATCATCATCATTCTCTCCGATTATTACTCAGACGGGGGGGGGCTTATGGGGCCCGCACCGCATTTCCCCACATAGTGAATTGCGAGGACGTATCAGGCGGGAACCCCCTCCCTATGGAGCCCGCACCTCATATGTTGAATCCCAGGGGGTCATCCTAATCAATACCTGAAACTGTCGTCACTATTGGGTTCCTGAGGCTTGAATCTAGAGATCTAGAGGACGTCTCAGGCGGGAGCCTCGTCTGTGAGTGAATTGCGAGGAAGTCTCACGCGGGCCCCCCCTCCTTGTAGGGCCCGCGCCTCATGTTTGCAATATCAGGGGATCATCCTAACACGTGTAACTCTCGTCACAGGTGGGCACCTGAGGCGCGAATATGGAGGGAGTATCAAGCGGGGGCCTCGTCTATGGGTGAATTGCGAGGAAGTCTCACCCGGGAACCCCTCCTCCTGGGGCCCGAACCTCATATTTGTAATTCCAGGTGGCCATCCTAATACGCGTAACATTCGTGCGCATCCTAAGTGGGGATCGTACCTTCTCTGGACACCCCACGCAGTCTCATCCCTCACCTTCTCTCCTCCTGTCAGAAGCATCATCATCACCACCATCATACCTATCATCAGCAGCAGCATCGTCATCCTCATTGTCATCGTCATCATCAGCATAATCATCATCATCAGCGTTAGCATCATCATCAGCATCAGCATCAGCATCAGCATCCGCATCAGCATCAGCATCAGCATCATCATCAGCATCATCAGCATCACGACCATCACAGTGCGCATCATCATCTTCAACAGGTTCAAGAATTATTCTGGCGGGAAGCGCCCCCCTATGGGGCTCGCACCTCATATTCCCCACATAATGAATTGCGAGGATGTATCAGGCGGGAACCTCCTCCCTATGGAGCCCGCACCTCATATGTTTAATCCCAGGGGGTAAACATAGTACCTGTAACTGTCGTCACTTTTGGGTCCCTAAGGCTTGAATCCAGAGGACGACACCCAAGAGGGGAGAGCCCACGCAAGTTCGAACATAAGATGAAGCTCGTGCCAGTGCACGACTGGCAGCAAGTTGAGCATATACCCTGGAGGTGCTCGAACTGCTCCTCACTCTTGGTCACTCAGCCGACGCGGTGCAAAAACCGTATGAACAAGCCGTGCACGCAGCATTCGGGTGAGTTCAGAGAGCGCCTGAATCAGGTGCAGTCCTCTCACTGCCTGTCCTCGGGCACCTGTCCCGATGGCCTACTCGTACTCTCCGCGAGGTGTGGCAAACACAATATGTTTTGTTTTCAGAGGTCTCCTGGAGGATTGTAAACGGCCCAGTTGTGGCAAGCGACGATAATCATACTGTTCGTAAGAGTTTGTTGGCAGGCTTCCATTACGTGGACGGCTCGCCTGTTGACAGCATCAATGAACTCCTGGCCCTCCTGCCGCAGCAGCAGAGTCGAGCCTGCAGCCACAGAGGCTGCAGGCTGCTGGGATCGACGACCCAGCTCGGCGCTCCTCCTGCCCTTTGGAAACACCCTCCTCCTCCTCCTCCGCCTCCTCCTCCTCCTCCGCCCAAACTTCCGCCTGCCCCTGCTACTTCCTGTCCCCTTCCCCCTTCCCCCAATACCGCCTGCCCCCCCCCTCCTCGTCATCCATCTCCTGCTCCTCTCGGAGCAGGGACAAGTGGCAACGGCAGCTCAGAATCGGTCCCCAGACCCCACCCCTGCGGGGGTCCAGAAGCACCAGATCTCCGAGCTGCGTCCAAACGCTGCGACGAGAGGGTCCCTCGAAGGCCAACTACCGTGGTTTCCGCTCGCCCTCCTCTGCTCCCTGTCCCCCGCCTCGTCGTCATCTTCATCTTCATTAGAAGAAAAAACCTCATGAACATAAACTTTTGCCTCTCCGCGTGACTTTCTCGGATCCGCGCTGGGCCCCCCCCGCGGCGCCTCCGGCGCCGCCCCTGGCGCGCTCCGCGCGCCAGGGAGGGGGGCTCACCGCAGATCCAAGAAATCCGCGTGGAGCGCCAAAACTTGTTTCTATTCTATTCATCCTCCTCCTCCTCCCCCCCCCGCTCACC